AAAAAAAAAGTTCAAATTATAAAAATAAAAATATTATTATTATTATTAAAACAAGATCACACGAAAATTATAATCTTACGAGGTAAGAGAAAAAAAAATTAAAAAAGCAAGCTATGAAAAATATTATCTCTAATCTCAAACGTGACATACATTCTGTCAAGAAGGATTGGCGATTTCTATTATAATTTTTTTACATCTTATCTAACAGCGACGCAATTACTTGATAGTTCGTATTTATCACGATGTTTTAATGATATTCACGTCAATCGCGCTCTTTCCTGACAGACTGCGTCATAAATTACACGCACAAAAAGACCACTCTCGTTTTTTTCGATGAATAAATACTTATATACAATTTATTTTTGATGATGTCATGTGATGGAAATGAAGGTGTTACAGCAGATTAAGCCTACGATACTGCGCAGAGTCTTATGAATCTTTTCAGCAGTCTTATTCAATACAATTCCATACGCAACACACAGTAGAATTACCGGTGAAGAGTTTCAAGTAAGATCACAGCAATCTTTCTAGCAAGATCCCCCCGAGTACGTCCGATATTCGCCGAATATACCTCTTACGCACTCGCGTTTTATCTCTCATCGCTAATTATTGTATTTTGATATTCTTTTATACGGTTGATATCGCTCGTACAAACGCTACTACATCACATATGCTTATATAAAAAAAAAACGTATTTTACGAAATATCATTGTTCCGTTAACTAGAACGCCGTCGCTTATAAACGCTATATAAATTCTATGTGCGTGATGTCACGATCATATCGCCGATCTGTAAAAAGTGTCCGATTAAAGCTACAGTTACTCTACTAAAATACCGATATATCAAAGATATTAAAAAATAAATATATATATTTATATATATACGAGAGGTCGCAACAAGTAAAAAATATACAATTGTTATATGCTACGGTGGTCGTAAAACAAGGGGCCACCTAATATCCTTGATGAAAGGGCAGGAGGGCGGAGGGGGGAGAAAGAAAATGGGGAAAGAACCGATCTTTACCGCGACACAATTGAAACAAGGATATTACGTACACGAAAAATCACAACCAGCGAGTAGCCAATTATTATGCTAGTAACAAAAATAATGATTAATACGATTAATATTACAATAAATTATGCCATGCGGCTTCAGGAATTTTCACGAGGGCGGCACTCGCTCGCTCCGCTCTGTCAGAAATGTTAATTCGATTAACGTTTGCTCCCCGACGAAGTCGCTCGTGTGTTCGTCAATTGTACGTGTTGAGCAACCCTCGATTACGGATCGTTCGTTCGCGCGAGTTAGGCATTACTGTTTCCGGCACAGTACGGCTTTACTAACCAACATATCGTATTTTGGCGTTTTGTTCTGGCAGTTTGTTAGTTTGTGAAACGCATAAAAAATGTACAGTATAAAAATTACGTGTTAGATTATGGAGATGAATGAGCCACGTTGAAGCATTCTCGCGCGTAAATACAGGATTGCTCTCGGCTCTCACTCGCGCGCGCGAGTATCTATTAATAGTCGTCCCGTCTAAAATCTAAATAACAAAGTACCAGCGCAGCTCTATTCTTACGACGAGATAATCCTCAACCAACTGTAGCTACTGAGTATGTCATGCCGAGGGATGACGATTCTGACAGGAAGCAGGGCGAACCGCCTATGATCACAGAGGGATTTCTAAAGAAGTATATAGAGTCTCTATCAATTAAGATAGGATTTTGTTTAGGTCTCGCTCGAAGACGGCCGTTCCCAGCAGCACAACCATCTACGCCACAACGGGGGCGGCTTCCTACGCCGGTATAGTAAATTGGCGCCTCCGCGCCGCGTATTGAGGGCACTGACTATCGCCTGATCGAAGGCCTCCTTGAGGTCGTGTTGCGTCAACGCGGACGTCTCTACGTAATTGACGGCGCCTAGCCTGTGCGCCAATTGATGGCCCTGGATAGTGGTGATCGGTGCCTGACCGTATCTCGCCAATTGCAGCATCAGACGTACGTCCGATCTTAAGTCACTCTTTGTCCCCACCTAGAAAATTGCAATACAATTAAATAACACGATGTATTATAATACTGAACTAAAATGATACGATTATAATATATAATTGTTATCATTTATAATATCATTATTGCGATATTGGTAGTATATTATGATAAATTTAATTGTATTAGAAATGTATCAATTTATGTCAATTATATATTATATTGTATCATCTCTTAAAATGATG